TTCTGACGAGGATACTAAATAATCCAACAGATGTCTCATGAAGCAGTTTTCACATATATTCATCGCTTGTTATGAAAGCGGTAATTACCAGTGATAAGTTAGGATTTATTTATGAGACTACGACATATATAATTTAAAGTATAATTTAAAGAACTACTAATGCACTCGATTCATGTCTAATAACTTTTGGAAGAAAAATCATAAAATAATCATAAAATATGTTCAATCTATTCAAAGAGCATCTAGAGTATTCGGCAAAGGAACTATAAATGTTAATTATAAAATTATCTACCATGTTATGGCAACATTATGAATCATACGAAGCTAAAAATAATGTAAAATGAAAAAAATGCGTTATAAATAATATAGTAGTTATAAAGAATTCAGTTTTGCGCAAACTAAAAAGAAATTTGTTAAATTTCTTAATTTCTTTCTTAATTTCGCGTAACAAATTTATCATGGAAATAGGTAGATAATCGAGGGGTTGAATAATCCGAAATCCAAGAAGTCGACATCAGATTGCGGAAAAGCCCGTTAATTAATGCGAGTCAAACGCGCTTAGCGTTGGTGCTTTCAGTAGGCAAACTTTATTTCCCGCTGAAGGATATTTCCTTTTAAAGGATACCGCACGAAGGAAATGAGAGAAATGGAAAAGCGAGCGACTTAGTTCTCAGCGAAGTTCTTCGCGTAACAATATGGCGGATATCCACCGAAGAAACGCCGGTGCTTTAGTTCCGCATCTTTCTGTAGTCGCCGCCTCCGCTTCTCTACTTTAATTAGCCTCGTCCGTCGGTAAACAATAAGCCGTTATTTCTGACAAATTAATTCGAAAAACAATTCTCTCTGTCGGGTCGCTGGTTGCGCGATGGCACAGCCGCCGGCTTTTATTCCATTGGGGGATGCGCGTCTCAAAACGTAACGAGCATCCCTTTCATGTAATACTACACTGTGGCCCATGCTTTGCCGGAATTTCTGAGACCCGACCGCGTTAAGCTCCCTCAGGATCCTCTCCGACAGCAAGAAAATCAGTCCGTGGTTGTCGAAGAGCAGTAAGATCGTACGACGATCAAAAATCTCATCATAAATTATTGAGGCAATCTTCGTTGAATTTATACTTCAGAAGAAACGTTGCTTCCGCGAAGTATCTCATTTTTCGAATTTATGATTGATAGCTTCCTAGCTTTTCCCTAAAGATTTTTATAATTCCTAATATGTTTCGAAAAGAGTTCTGACGATTAAGCGTACAAAGTAAAAATTACATTTCCGTTCTAAATCGACTATAAATTTTTATTTGAATCACTCAATGGATTTAAATTTTAATACTTTTCGAAAAAATGCTGTCGGAAACATTATTCTGCAGAAGATATTTTATATGTGTATTAAATTTATATTTTATATATATAATAAATAAATTTAATTAAATCCAACTTTTTAATTATATTTTAATTCAACTTTTTATAAAGGAAAAGCTGATTACAAATTTTCAAAGACGCTTGTAAGGCTTGACGCAAACCTTATATATTCTGTATAACTTGATCATAATTAAGTACCGTGGAGAAATTTACTGTTCATCATATCGTGTCCTCTTTCCCGCATACAAAATGCATTTCTCGCGCGCTAGAAAATACGGACAGCTACGCTCAGACTGACCAAATCGCTTTGTCGTCGGCACATGATCCTCGTCGTTATCCCTCGCGCAAATATTTAAGCACACCGCGTCCGTATACTCTGGAGATTATATGCGAAACTCGGTTCGTTTCGTCCGACTTCATCTTCATCAACATACTGATCAAACCTGTTCCACTTCGCCACGCGTGCAAACTTAATACACCACCTTTTATAAAAATTATAAATTGCTGCATGCAATAAAATCGATAATTAAATGAACCAATGAATGATCAATGGACCAATCGAGAATAGAAAAAGAAGTGTATTCTTTTACAGCTGTTTATATATATATATATATATATATAAAAATATTCGTAAAGACATATTCAGTTTTATTATCTTATTTCTATAAATTTATAGAATAAAGTAAATATTTTTACGGGTATTATCCGTGTCATTATGCATTGTTGAATGCCAACGTTTCGTGAACATTGCAGTTCTGTATTAGACTGCTCCTCACCTTGATTGACATTCAACAATGCACAATGATACGGATAATACCCGTAAAAATATTTACTTTTTTGAAAATAGTAACCGTGGAAGCCTTAAAAGCAATTTATATAGAATAGTATTTTTTTATTTCCAATTTGTTTAAAATTTCAGAAAAGTTTATCCTATATAGTTTCTATTGTAGAACACAACATAATACTTTGTGTAGATACAAATGTTAATTTGTAGAAACAACTTGCATGCAGATAAAGTATCTACGGATGTTGGAAATATACACGCAACCTTGCTACATCAGCGCAAGTCGCAATCTGCAAGCGCGATTGAAAGTCGAGAGAGTTCCCCAACAGCTCGATTTGCTCCACCCAATCTCTATCTTCGGCATCTCTATTCGCGTTTCGAGAGCGTTTGGCGAACTTGGGACCGCTTCCGAGAGCTTCCGTTACGGATATCCAGTTTGATAGTTTAAACGGATATTGACGCCTGCCTCCCTTCTCTCCCACTCCCCTTCATTCTCTCTGTCTCTCGTTCGCTCTCTGTTTCTCTCGCCAATGAACGGAGAATGGAAACAGCGAAAGGGTTGTAGTTTCGAAGGGCGCAGGATAGTGGCGGCACTCAGGCGGTTTATAGCAATGCGAGACGCTCATCTGCATTTCAAATCGCATGCCCACACGAAGATTTGTATGCGCGCGTAGATCCAAACGTGTATAGCATCATCCAAAAACGAACGATCGTGCAATCGCATGTTGTTACGACTGGAAAAACTAGCGATAAAAATATACGCTATGAATTATGCTCATGAATTAAAATTATTAATCTATATTTTATCGCGACAAAACAATAATATGGAATTTAGTAATACTCATCAAAAGATTTCAAGAGATTTCGGCAAATTGAAAAATGTAAAATATGCATATTAAAGAAGATATGTACTTATACATGAAAAACTAATTTCTCATTCTTTTAATCCACTGTATCAAACAAAAAAAAAAAGAGAGAAAAAAGGGTGTAATGTGCAAAAACGCAAGATAGCTTTTTTTATTATGCTGTCTAGATTTTGGTCAACGTCACTCCCATGTGTTATGCAAATGCATGTACAACGTGTATTCTCACTTGGCTGGCGGATGCGCGCACGTTGTAGGCATACTTGCCTATATTAAAGATACGTCGTTGCGTGCTTGCTTGTGATTGTTTTCTCCCGCATACACGCACGTCGAGAGGTAGCGTGCACATAAGACGAAATTCCGCTGGAAAGCTACTGGGGCCCACGTTCTTCCCCTTACGGCAGAATTGAGCGGCCATGGATTTACGGTAAGCGCCGCATAAACGAAACGAGCGGAAGTCGACCGTGCTTCCGGATCAGACAGCTAGGCAAAAGTCTACCGCGGGCTCTTCTGTCCTGATTAAACTATGCGGAAATCCTATCGAGGTGCAGACGTTGTTATTATGCAATGTGTACACCGTACAACTACACGTATTTGATTGATTAATTCGGACAAAAGCGGTTTATTTTGCGATCGCAAAAAGTGGATTTTCAGATTTAACTTGTTTAACAATTTTTTTTTTTAATTGTATTTAACATATCCCTATTCCTTTATAAAAATCGGGTTTTTAAAATGTTATATAAGTAATATCATTATATTATTTATTTCAAACATTTTTTTTCAATTTAAATATAATTTTAGATCTGTACAAATGTCTTTTATTTTATGTTAAATTTATCTTCGGTAATTTTATATAAAAAAAGGCAATTATATATACGGCAATTATATATTAAATATTCAGACGAAAGATGTCTATATGAATTTCATCGTTGCTGTGATGGAAGCGATCGGCTGGAGAAATTCATGATCGGATATTTTCAGAAGTAGTGACTGAAACTTTGTCGCGCCTCAGGCTGCGATATCGATAAGGGCTTACCTTGCCGACCCCGGTGAGCTCCTTTACGCCTATTCTCCTGAGAAGGGCGGGTGGTGCCGGAGGTGGTGATTTGAGAAGGAGTGCGGCGTATCCATTGGGAAAAATGGGCAACTCGTCAGGACCGATGTTTTCGTCGCCGGAACGTCGTCTCCGATGCGGGCTCGACGACAAATTCAGTTTTTGCGCTGCCCTGCGACATAAAAATATTCATAATAATTTAATATTGCTATCATACATGCTATATGTTTTAAATGTAGAAATGATTTTCCGAAAGAAATTTAATTAAAATCAGTTCGTTAATTTCTCATTATTCTACTTTTATTTCAGCATGAAATGAAATATTATTATATATGATCTCCCTTTCAAGTTTTATCATCAAATTTGCACGTTTAAAATGTATCGAACCATATAATGAGTCAATTGAGCTTTTAAGTTTGCTCTCGTTTCTATTTTCTCGAGTATGCCTAGTAGACACAGCGTACCTGCGGAAGGGTCGCCGTATTTCGAAAGGTATGTGTCTCGAGGGTGACTGGGTGACATACTCCGCGGGGCGGGCTTGGTAATCAGCGAAGGTAATGTGCCGGAACCCCCGGTCATGCGGGGTAGCCGCGTTTAAAGGGATGCACTGGGAACGAGAGCGCTCGTTGGTGCCCGACGTTGGCGTCAGTTTTGGCAGTGGGTAGGGAAGTTACGCAGGGTGGTTGCCCTAACTTCTCTCCACCCCTCGTGGGCCTCGTTAACCCACGCTCTGTGAAATTGGAAATACCTGCGACCTCTCGCGCACACGTTCGCCCTCGAGATCGGCTCCATAGAGTCCCCCCCTCGCGTTCCCGTGCTCTGCGGTGGGCGCCTCCATCGGGTTGTGGAGTGTCATAAAAAATGGAAAGTGTGAGGGATGCGAGGCATCGGACGGGACGCAGTTATCGCCGCGAGATGCAGTCGCTTTACGCCAGTCGCATCGCATCTGTCCGTAAAGCACATCACGTCGTTCGCTGCTCTTTTTCTTTCCGCTCGAGCAGGTGCGAACAAACGACGCGTGAAACGACTTGCGAGGATTGCGACGTGTGTCGGCCGACGACTTCTTTAATAGATTTCAGGGCTTGGAAAGAAAGAGAGCGCGAATGACTTTATCACGCCACTCGAAGTTAGTCTCTTGGAGCACAGTGAAGTAATAGGGTAATTTTAGAACAAACGACCACAGATTTCAAAATAGATAGTTACAATAAAAACGTGTTTTATCCTTACTGAAATAAGAGATTTAAAAATTTTCATTTGAGCAACACTTCTACAAAAATATAAAATAATGTAACAACATATTTTTAACAAATTAAAAATAATATATATATTTATAATTTTATACGAAATACATTTCTGTCAATTTTATACGAAATACATTTCTGTACATTCTATCTAAATATTTCTAAATAATCTCTTTCAGGATTGAATTACAGAAGATAACAACCAATAAAGAAAACCAATCTTTCAATAAAATAGAACTTGGAATAAATTTCTACGGATGGAAAAAAATGCAACCTAGGAAAAAAGAATATTTTAAAGTTAACTATGAAACCAGTTAAAAATTGTCAATCCTGTCTCGAATGGTCAGGATACGCACGCAGCGCGAGCAAACCGTGTAAAACCTTTAAGGCAATTATAGTACCCGGCAAATATCGCGCAAAAGCTTTCGGATGTTTTTTTATTTGGGTGCAACGACGCCGAATTCGCGTAACGCGTGCGCACGGCTCGTCGCAGCCGCGTAACATCCATCGACAAGCGGAATGTTTTGCCGGCCCGTTCAAAAGGATTGTTTTCGCGCACTATCAACGCTGTTGCGCGCAATAAACGGCAGCGACAGAGGGAAAAAGCGGCTGCAGGAGAGATCCACGAGGTCGCGGCTCTCGTCGTGCCGTTTTAACGAGCACGGACTGCCTGCGAAACTGACACGTAGTGTCACGTTGTGTTCTGGCATTTTATGCACTTTTTCTACATCGGGCGAGTGCAGCAAAAATTCGAATTTTACGCTTGGTTTAATTATTTGCAACCCTTCCTCCCTCCCCTCCTCTTCCTTTCTGGAAACGACTGAGGAAATGACGGGAAGAACGGAGGAGTTTATGAAACGGAACTTTGAAGAACAAATTACCCACGTCCAAACTTTAAGCAGCTTTTGGAAAATACGTCGTTATTTCTCTCGACGATGAAAATAATGCAAATATTTTCGGATTCCTTTTTTTACGGCTACGTAACGACCGCATACCAAAAAAATAGTCGTCAATATACCTTACACACGTCATATATATGATTGTTTAGATGCATTGAACTGTTTCAAACATAACTATCTATAAATAATATCAAATGTTATCGTGCATTCTTTACGCGAAATGAAATGCGTAATAATAAAACATGATTGATACCAGCGAGCATATTTCTGTAATTAACGCAGACGCAATTAAATAGTCTGTCTCATTAACGAGTCAAGAGCTTCCAACGCAAATAGCTTTTCTCAACATTATGCAATAATAAAAATTCACCGCAGAGGAAAGTTGATAATCGCGTGAAAAAATAGCGGAAAAGTTGATAACTTATATTTAAAACGTTTATATCATTATCACGTTAAAACATTTATGAAATATATGATATTTTGAAATATATCTTCGTAGAAGAAAAAAGTATATATTTTTCATAATGGCATGTATATTGCTTTAACATATATACAAACTGAAAATATTCTAAAAAATTTATTATTTTTTAGTCTTGTTTAATAGTTTTATAGTTTTAATTAAATATTTAACTAAACTAGAAAAGAATATATAGAATAATAATGTGTACAAAACATTAATTATTTTCGCGATGAAAAATTTATGAAATTAGAAATGAAAAAGTTAAAACGATTCGCATAAAAAGCATGATACAAAAATAAACCTTAACATAAATCTATATTAAGTTTTCATCTGTCATTATTACACGAACGAAAAATGAAAATACTACGATATTTTATCGCGTGCTGGCAGTAAGATTACGAAACAAGCGGAACATCCATTCTGAAAAAGTAATGTATCTTCTATACCTCGCAATATGTGCCTAAGGAAAATCCAAAATAGAACGTGAACGAATGTGGTAGACGCAGGTGCGTGTCACAAAGGCGCAATCTATTTCATCAATCAGGAGGAACAGATGCGTACTCGGTCTCATACATGTATTCAAAACCTTCAATGAAATATCGCCGAAATCCCCATATCCACCGTTGTCATTGATGTTTAATATCTTAAAAGCGAGGCACAAAATGGAATATTAAATTGCATGCGGTAAAAATATAACTTCACAATAATTCGCACCATAAATAAGCTTACTACACATAGAAAGTTGTAAAAACATTAATGACATTCCGAAATGTCGGAATTTTTATTAATTAATATTATTTCGCTCAATTGTGCTCGGTGATATCTGTATTTCCGTTCTAATAAAGATCATTTATTTGTTCAGCTGCATTTGAAACAGGTTGTTCGTGAAATGACTAATTTCACCCATATTGACTGATTTTCCCAGCGGAGATTTCGATATATTAAACATTCGTCATCCGGATACGGGCGGCACGTTTCATGGTTTGTCGCGCCACACATTGGGCAATCGTAAATTTTTTGCAACGCGCGTTTTTACAGTAATAAAAGTATCGCGGATAGAGCCGACAAGGGGGGGGGGGTACCGCGGCGCCCGCTCGTAATTCGCGTGGAAATTACACGCTTAATTCGCGATGTTATTTACGAGCGAACGGACACTCGTCGACTACCCCTGGGGGAACGGACGGAGAGGTCGAGGTACGCCGCCCTTTCTTGGCAATCCGCCACGTATCTCGGCTTAATCAAGGAAATTATGGCGCGAAACGTTCTAAACGTCCGACCCCGTTAGTAAACTCGCATATTTCGCGCTGCGACATGTTCGATATCCGTGCGATGCGCGAATTAAAAACTTTTGACGAGCACACGTAACGAGATTTTACGAGCTCGCAGCAGGGGAAACGAGCGGGGTGATCGCGAGGAATTTTGTAGGTGGCGGATTAATTAAACAACTCGCGCAAAAGCGGGTATCCACCACAATCGACCTTTCCGCCTGCAAGACCACGAATAAACTCGAGGGTGAATACAACAGCGATGATAATAGCAAGATCGCCAAACAAACGCGCGTATCATGGTATGCGCCATAGTTGCTGTTTACGATCAATCGCTATGGGAGATTATCCACGGATGAATTGTTTTTTATTGAAACTGAGACAAATTATATAATTTTTCTCATATCATATAATTTTTCTCTTATTTTTTTCACGTACTAGCCAGCGTAATGAAATATTACATAACAATCTGCACATTTTATATTTCCTTAATTACTTTTAATATTTATGAAACTATCTTGCGATAATCAAATTCTTTGAGGAAATAATCGTGTAAATATCTGAAGAATCTCTTTTCCTCAATTGATACCGTAAAGTTACGATTTAGTCATCTACAATTGAAAATCTGTAATTGCTATTGCATTGCTGGTTACTAATCAAACTTTATCGATATCTTTAGTTGTCTGTTGCAAGAAAGAACGAAAGGGTTTTAATAACCACCAATGACGTTAAAAGTTATAAGATTCATCGAGCCACGACAAATTATTTGTCGAGACTGGCGGAAAATGAAATTTCTTCCGGACGGATTAAATTTGCATCCTCATTAACTGCTTTTCCTGCCTGCAGAAAGTTACAAAGCTCCCGTCGTTCTGTAAACACCTTAATGGACGGCCTGGCGAAAAATCTCTAATACTTTTATAACCATGGAACATTCACGAAAATATTCTTTTTCCCCCTGTATTGTACGTGAGAGTATCGGCATCATGCCTAACGTTATCACATGCGTTGCACTCTACGGTATCTCATAGCGGCGGATAATTGTAGTTTAAATTCGGCTCTCCCTACTCGTTGCAACCGATATCAGTAATCGCATTATTACGTGAATCCGGCTCCCGACCTATTACTAGTGAAGTATTATCGCTCGAAAAGTTAAGCCTCTTACGCTGGCTCTACGATCTATAAATTTTACATTGCTCTCGCTTCAAACGCACTCGGCTTTTGAGCGAGTCTTCCTATGGCAATCCACAGGATGGCAAAATAATACACTCGAGTGCTGTGCGATTTAGAATTCTGGACTAAAGCTAAAT